CAGCAGGGAGGAAAAGTCCGGATAGCAAAAAACAAGTTTCATCACTTTTAAAGTCTTCATTATGTTTCATCATGAACATTGTTTTCTATCCTTTTCATTATTTTCGTAATTTTGGCATGATTGTTGTATCGTCCTTCTTTTCCTCATTTTCATCGTTTTTATCATGTTCATCATTATGTACCATCATTTTCCGAGCATTTTCTGTCATCCGGAGGCGCCGAAAGCATTGAGAGGATTCGGAACAAAATTCGAAGGACGCTCCACGCAAGAGCGTCCGGAGGAACTGAAAACATTGAGAGGGTTGTTGTTTCCGAACTGAATTCTCAGGACGCTCCACGCAAGAACCCCCGAAAGCGCCGAAAACACTGAGATGGTGGTCAAAAATCCAAGCATTCTCAGGACGCTCCACGCGAGAGCGTCAAAACACGCCGCGCTGCGAAGACGCGTCGGTCCTTCAGAAAATGAAGTTTTCGCATAGGGCTTGCTTGCATTTGAGCATTTTGATTTGTTTGATCCTTACTTGATTTTATTTTGATCCCTCACCCTCTTCGGGTTGGGTTGACTCATCCTTGGGCTATCATGTGGAGGCTGCAAACATCACATTTGCCGCGTACCTCTCGCCGTTGGAATCCCAGACAAAGAAGAAAACATCCGAAAAGATCCTGTCGTTGAATCGTTGCGGCTTGTCAAAGGACACTTTCGGGGCCGCAGTCGGTGGCACCACTGTCTGACAAATCTGGCACCGTAGGTCGCCCACAGCCTTGAGTATGTGATCCTTTGCTCCATTGAGGAGAGGCATACGCTTCAGCTTGGTGTTTGTAACGTGACCCAACATCACATGAAGTTTCGCCAAGGTATCCCTCAATTGCTTGGACAAGGATCCGCTCGCACCCTCGACGTAGATGTAGTCGAATCGCTGCCCAGGCATTTCACACAGACGTTGTCGCAACAGACCTTCACGAGACTGCTCCACCTCCACGGGCACCGTCTCCCATTGCCCAGAGACTGGGCAGCGACTTCATGAAGTTGCACTCGGGACAGCGGGTTTGCGTGCCCGTGCATAACGAGGCCGGCAGCATCCAACACCCTCTCGCACCACATAGGGGCCCATTTCGATGAGTAATCCTTTTGAGGGATTCCGGAAAATAGAACTCAGCGCGCCCCGCCAGCTCTCCGCCGCGCCGCGACGTCAGGTTGGGCGCGCCGGTGGAGTGGCATGTTGGCAGCGGCGGTGCAGCAAGCAGTTGCCGCTATTTGCATTACCAGATAGCAGGGGGGGGGGTTGCGGGGGGCGCAGCCCCCCCATCTGCAAACCATCGACGACAATGATGAGAACACACTGGCTTCTTGCTACCGTTGATTTTTTTTTTGCATCGTGCCTACATCGCGCAATAGCGGGGTGGAGCGGGCGCAGCCCCCCCCATCTGCAAAACATCGACGAAGATCTCAGCTCCTTTGCAGCCGTTGATAAGTTGATTTTTGCATCGCGCTTGCATTGCGAAACAGCGGGGGGTTGGGTGCCATTTGCAAAACATGGTCGAAGGTCAGAACGCACAAGCTTCCTGCAGCCAATTGTTTTTGCAATTACGAAATAGCGGGGGGTTGGGGGGTTTCGGATCTAGGGTTGTGGGACGAGGGTTTGGGCTTAGGGTTTGAGGTATGATTTAAGCTAAGCGCACAAGTCAATTTTTTTGCGTTGGCCCTTTGAGGAAGCACTGTGTATTGGCGCGTATGCCACAACAATGGCACCCCTAGATTGACACACCATGCGCCATCCCTGACCAATGTTTTGTCAGCTGGTTTCTGTCAACACTGCGCGGGGGTTTCGAGTCTACGCCGGACTAGATTCCAAGATGTATGGCTGAGTCGCCTGGGAGCGGTGTGATTAGTAAGCAAGAACTCAACGCAGCCCCCCCATTTGCAAAACGTGGATCGCAGCCTCTTGCAACCATTGACCGATTTGCTTTGCAATGCGTCTGCATTACGAGAGAGATGTTATTTGCAGTATGCCTATTCTTCGAAGAGGCGCGAATTCTGGAACTTAAAACATTCCTCGCTTTCCAAAAGCTCACAATGCCGTAATTTTACAACATGCATAGCCTTTCAAGAGCTGCGAACACTGTATTTGCAGTTTCCTGGCTTCTCAAAAGCTGTAGCACTTCAAAAGCCACAAATATCGTAATTTGCAGGGGTCTTATCTTTTCAGAAGCTCCAAACGTGACAGGGAGCACGCGATGCCGGTCGCATCGGCTTTGGGGCCTCCAATGACGAGGCACACACAACTCGGGAGCCGGCTGATGGCCGCAGACCTGGATTTCAACAGTGCGGCCTGCGTTGCATGGCACTTCTCGACTCTTGATTGCAAAGGCCCCGGCGCGTCGGCGAAGCATCGCACCTGTGAACGAGACATTAGCCCCACTCAAATCCCACTGCCGTCCAAGCCTCATGCACGCCCGCCACCAGCACGTCCGGGCTTGCCGCACACGAATCAGGCCTTCCTCAGGGCGCCGCCCATTCCGCGAGTTGCTTGGACCATCTCGGATACTCTGGCCCTGTCCCCGCGCGATAAGGAAATTCGAGAAGTGCGCGAACAGCAATTGGCGGCAGAGGGCGCGCCAACACAAGCGGGCAAAGGAACGCCGAGATTCTCACCTCCAAAAGCACCGGTACGTGCAGGAGCCGGCCCTTTAACCTGTGCCACGCGAGCCGAGCGAGACACGCGCTTCACGTGGATTACGTAATGCGCCTGGTGTAACGCCCTCGACCCTCACGTGCCTGATGCGGGCTGCTCGGCAGTCAGGATCAACATACCTGCTGCGCAAATGTTGCGTTGGGAAGAGGTGTGTTTCCGCATGGCGACGTACAGCTTTGGATCCTCGAGCGGCGTACAGCTTTCGACCCTCCAGTGGCGGCTAACCCCTCATGAGCCGCAAGGGCGGAAATGGCCCTCTGACACCTTGTCTGCCCACGCCCTGAAAAGCATACGCGTGCGCAAACTGATTCGCATTTGTTGGTGGAGCTGCGCACCTCACTGGCCGTCCATGCAAGAACGTGTCGTGTTGAGATTGTAAGTCGCACGTCCACGAGTTCTCATGCGGCATGCCCGAAGCAGAACTTGTAGTTGCCCAACCTGCCCGTGTAGCAGAGGCGCAAATGGCCGGCTGTCCGCAAGGAGTCTGCGATGCCGCAGTCGTGCGCGTAAGGCCGCCATCTACGCAACGCCCTCAAGACTGAACAATTAACTCATCAGAGCATAACAATTCTCAGGACACAAAAAAACTTTCCACCAAACCCTCCCGTGGCCCAGAGCGTCCTCAAATTTTTGACAATCTGCAACTTTTGCTTCCGCGAAGTATCTTTTACCCTTGGAACACTTTCGGACACCTCCCGAGACCCCTCCGCACCCTTCCACGGCCACAGTCTGGCGCAAACTTTCAGATTGATCTCCTCAATCAGTGGTTCATGCATAGTCCACGAGGCAACAGCTTGTGATGTCATCCGCCTTCCACTCCAAGTCATGCAGCACCTGCGGGGTAGAAAGATGCAGAAAGAGCCTGTGCGCCAGAAACACCTGCATCTTTGGTGAAGCAAGACTTGAACTGTAGCTGCACGAGCGGATGTGCTGTTCGTGCAGCACCTGCTCTTGCAGCCACGTCCACCAGGGAGGAAACTCGGAACAAGCAGCATTCTCGGCTACAATGCTTCATGCCCAGCTGCTAACAACCACCCTGAGGCAATTGGCAAGCAAAGCAACACGCCTGCAGTCCTGCCTGGCACCGCAGCAAAGCCGAGAGGAGACACCCACAAGCAAAGTTGCAAGACAACCCTGCGAGATCCTGCGAGCAGAGCACGCCGGCGGCCACCCACAAGAAACAGCTTAGGGCCACACCGCAAGCATGCATGAGCTTGCCGCAAGCGATCAAATTGCCTGAAACGTCGAGCGGGCATCCATGGCAACATCCAGAAGCCTGGTCACACAGAAGCTTCCCCTGATGCCAGTGAGCGCCCAAAAGTATGTGAGTTCTGACAAGTCCAACCGCCGGACGCTGACAAGTGGGCAGACAGGCAACTGACACGCAACACGCGGAGCCAGAAACTCAGCGCTTGCACAGACACAACAGCCACCTGCAGCGCGCCCGGCACGCACTGCGGCCAGAGACTGCTCAAAAGTGAGGTGGCGCGGCCTCACTCTACAGAGCAAAGGGCGGGTGCCTGGTGCAATTTTACTGGCACTATGAGGTGACCATACGCGACCATCCCGGAATCCTCAAGGGCTACCTGCCAAGCAAACCAGGGATCCGCAACCCCCTTAGCATGCCGCGGCATTCATAGTAAAAAGCAGAAGTCGCTCACAATGAGGGTAAGAATAGGAGGAATACAAATTATAGTAAGGGTAAGACCTCTGACGCAACTGGCCGGACATCGTCACCCATCTGCTCACCCGGTGCTTCATCACGCATAGGAATAACCACTTGCTAAGGGTCCCCAGAACAAGGACTATGATATATTGTGGTCTATTTGGTGCCCCTTACCTACGCAAAGGGGCATGTTCAAGCTTGCGCCCCTACAGCTCCTAAGGGAAGCCCCTGAACCCGAACCACCTGAACCCCCTGAACCCAGCTTTGATTTTGACTGCACGCATCTGCGAGCTCGGTCCCATCACAAACGTCGAGCAGATAGGCCTGAGAAAGCATTCACACTTGCTAGGGTTTATGGTTTAGGGTTTAGGGGTCTAGGGGCTTAGGGGTTTAGGATTTTAGGGGTTTTGGGTCTAGGGATTCAGCTGGTCTCAAGTATCCTTGCGCTCCTGGCTATCCCAGTGCAACCCCAATATAACCCCTATAGTTTCCATTTCATTTTCCATTATCGCAATAAAACCCCAGTATATACCCTATAACCCCTATATGACGCCTCTAATCTTCGTAGTTTCCATTTTATTTTCCATTATCCCAATAGTTGGTCTCAAGTATTCTTGCGCTCCTGGCCTGGGTGCGGCATCTTTATCCGCGCCCGCGGCAGACGTGCTGCCTGAGCTTTGCGGTGCTAGGGCCCATTGGTTTAGGGTTTTAGGTTTTAGGGTTTTAGGCTTTAGGGTTTTAGGGTTTTTAGGGTTTAGGGTCTGAGGGTTCAGGGGTTTAGGGCTTAGGGCAAAAAACATCGAGAAAAACTTGTGGAACATGAGCAGTACGCAGTGCATCCTATGTAGTATACAACTGACAGCCTAAACCCTAAACCCTAATCCCTAAACCCTAATCCCAGAACCCTAAACCCTAAACCCTCAACCCTAATCCCTGAACCCTAAATCCAAAACCTAATCCCTAAACCCTACACGCCTAAACCCCCAAACCCTAAATCCGAAACCCTTAAACGAATCCATCACAGGCCCCGGCTCAACAAGGTCCATCGAGAGCGAGTCTCCACCTCGGTTTTAGGTTGGGTACCGCCCCAACCCAGTGACAGTCTATATGAGGGGTCCTATTAAGGGCTATATATAACCATATTATACCTATTATCCAACTGTTACCCAAGTTTTATGTTTAAAGGTTTCGGGCTTAAGGCCACCTGGCAGGCGCTTAGAGGATATACAGGGAAATTAAGAGGATCCTTATTGGTTTTCTACAAGAAGGATATCATGGATATTCTCCAGCTGTAATTGATGGGGGGTCAGCATCCAGCCCTAAACCCTAAACCCTAAAAACCAAACCCTGAAATCCCAAAACCCTAAACCCTAAAACAAACCCAACCCCCCAAACCCTAAAACCCTAAAATCCTAAAACCCTGAACCCTCAACTCAGGGACCCCGCAGTGACTACACCGGGCAGTAAACGCAACTTTGGGCGGGCTCGGTGTCGGGCTCGGGGTGCCTTCGCGAGATCTTCGGGTTGAAGGTTTGGGGTTTTGGGGTTTAGGGTTTTGGGGTTTAGGGTTTGGGGTTTAGGGTTTAGGATCTAGGGTATAGGGTTTAGGGTTGAAGGTTTGGGGTGTTGGGGTTTAGGGTTTGGGGCTTAAGGTTTAGGATTTAGGGTTTAGGATCTAGGGTATAGGGTTTAGGGTTGAAGGTTTGGGGTTTTGGGGTTTAGGGTTTGGGGTTTAGGGTTTAGGATTTAGGGTTTAGGATCTAGGGTATAGGGTTTAGGGTTGAAGGTTTGGGGTTTTGGGGTTTAGGGTTTGGGGTT